TAGGGGGCCCTTGGCTTTTTGGGGCCCAAGGCGGTCGCCTACCTTTGCCTAATGGGTAAGTCCGCCCCTGCTTTTGAGTGGAATGAGGTTGTTCAGTTCATGGTGACTCTGTACCTGATCTAACGCAGAGATCTTCCCTTTCCTCTGAATAAAAGAGTCTCTCTCAGGCTTTAATTATACAGTCCTGACTCTGTCTGCTTCTCTGGCATTAAATGCTAAACAAGGACATGTTTTGTGTATTTGTAAATATATTGAATGAAGGAGTGACTGGAATGTGTGTGTAGTTGTTGAGTAGAAGTATAAAGGATGAATACATTTTTATGTTTTCTGAAGAAAAGGATGTGCTGCGCAACTTGCAGCCATGATGGTAGGGTGTTTTGGGTGGTTTCAAGCACAGTGCTATTAGTGTTGCTTTGTTTATGAACGAAACAGAGCTCTTGAATGTATCTTTTAAGAGAATGTTTTTGTTCATGCCCATGCACTGACTCGTGTTTTTGGTTCATTGTAGTGAGAGTAAATAGCGTTTAAGTGCAAAAGAGCATTTCATTGAACAAAAATGCAACCAAATATGCAATATAACACATATGCCACCATAACTCAAGTTGCTGTTGACATCTTGTTCAAGAATGGATTACGTTTCCCAAAGAACCTTTTTTTTTTTTTAGTGTGAAGAATGCTTTTGACTATAAAGAGCCTTTTGTCCAATGGAAAGTTTCCATGGATGTTAAAGGTTCTTTATTGAACCATAGATGCCAATAAAGAACCTTTATTAAGAATTTACTTCATTGTTATTTGTGGAGAAAATGCTTATGGTGCTTAAAAAGTCTTTCTACAAATGTGCCATGAGATTGTGTTCCAAGTAATGCTGTCTGTGTTGCTATGCGGCCGCTTGGTTGCCAGGGTGTTGTTAGGTTGTCGCTTATTGGGCAAGTCAAAAATGCCTGTATGTTCATATTCTGATCCCTATAAATAACTTAATGGGATTTTGTTTATTTTTTTTATTCTCATTTCAGTTCCCCAGAGGTAAGAATGAACAAAGACAAACATATTAAAATGCATTAAATGGCTGTTACATTTATCACGAAAACAAGATGAATAATCTCAAATAAAGGCACAATAGAGGAGTAAAGCACACTGTGAACTTCACACATTGCCTTTCTGTTTACTTTAGTCTGCATTAAATTAGCTTTTGATGAATTTGTGAATTTATTTTATTCCTTCACCTGTCATTGAGTCTTTTCGCTCACTGTTGCTCTTTCTTTCTCATTCCTCTCTCTTTTTCTCCCCTTGCTCTCTTTCTCTTTCACTCTGTCTCTTTCTTTCTCTCCCTCCCCAATGAAATGCACAGAAATAGCTATGCAAATTTCCCCCCTTCCAAAATGGTTTCATATCATCTCTATATCTTCCAATAACCCTCCATTCTCTCCATCATTTCCCCCTTCATCTGTTTTCTTCACTCCTCCGCTCTGTCTTCCCTTTCTTTTATTGTATTTCTGGGCTCATTATGCTAATTGGCATCAGTAAGAACAAATCCAGTGGTGGATTTTTTTCTCTCGTTTATTTTACTCTATATCTGTTATGCTGCTTCTCTCTCTCTCTTTCTCTCATTCTATCTCTCCTTTTCTATTTATATCTCAGCATGGTGGGAGTGTTTGGTCAGAACAATTACACTACTCTATTTGTCTCCCGCCTTTCTCCGTATTTCTCATCCTTCGTTCCTGTCCCTTATGGAAAACAAACGTGGAGCCTTCTCTCCTGCTTCTTTCATCTTGTCCTCTCGTTTGCACTGGAGTGTATTCTGCATTCTGCATTCTGCATGCGTCTGTTTCCGTGGTCGACAACACCCTCAAACGCTGCTAGATCAATAATCGGTGTGGAATTAAAGCTTGCGTGTGTTTGTGTGCAAACATGTAACCATACGCATGTCCGTGCTTGACAGCATGGCTCTGTGTGTAAACTGAATAGTGTGTATGTGTGTGTGTGTGCATGGGGAAATGAAGAGTGAGTCAGACAGTGTTGGGTCAATTAGAGGGATCGAGGGAGATTATCATTGGCAAGTAGTGTTACAATTATCCCACGACTGAGGCATCATGGGAAGGTTTGGGAAAAAATGAACTGAGCGGATGGAGCTACTAAAAGCTCTGAATGGCCCACATATTTTTCGACAATTTGTCTCATGTCAAATACAGATGAGCTTTATTGGCATGACTGTGTGGTTGCAAAATGTTGCCAAAGCATAATAATAAACATTACTGGGCTCCTGTCTGACGGCATTTTGAATATTCACAAATATATTCACAGTGATTTTAATTCACTTTATTTTTGATCATTGGGTTTCCCAAAGACTGTCATCATACTTGTTTTTTGATCCTACGTTATGAGAGCATTAAGATAGAGTTGGTAAGTTAAGTTTATTTCCATGAATAAGTTTGATTCAAAGCTTTGATTCATTTGCATCATCACGTGTTCATTGTCTCCAAGTGGCATATTTTTATTTATTAAAATGTTTTAGTAAATAAATATTTATTTATTGATATATTTGTTAATTTAAATAAAAATGATTAAACTTTCAGCCCTGTTTTCATAGTCAGAAATGGAAAAAAATGCCTTGGCTTTTGCTCCTTTTTACAGATTTGATTCTTAGACACTCTCATGCAGATAATTTTTTTTTACTTTGTATACACAATATCATTCAAAAGTTTTGGACAGTAAGATTTTTTTTAAGAAATTAATAGTTTTATTTAGCAATGATGCATTAAATTGATCGAAGGTGACAATAAAGACATTTACAAGTTTATAAAATATTTTTATTTGAAATAAATAATGTTCTTTTGAAGCAGCACAACTGTTTGAAATATTGACAATAATATGAAATGTTTCTTGAGCAGCAAATCAGCATATTAGACTGATTTCTGAAGAATCATGTGACACTGAACACTGGAGTAATGATGCTGAAAATTCAGCTTTACCATCATAGGAATGAATTACATTTGGAAAACATGTTAACATAGAAAGAATTAAATTATAATATTATTCCCCAATATTACTGTTTTTACTGTTTTGATCAAATAAATGCAGCCTTGGTGAGCATCAAGACTTAAGTCTTGATGAAAAACTCTTACTCACCCCATAATTTTGAATGTACACTATATGAACAACAGACTGAAAATATTGATATTGAGGTATTTTGGTTATATCAACCAGCTCTAGTGCACGAAACTGCCAACAAATGACAAAGTAAAAAGAAAGAGCATATTTAAGGGTGTAAACTACTATCATTAAGAAAGTTGACACATTTGCATGCTGTCTGTTAGATTGGCTTTCTCACCAGATGGAAAGGTCTGAATCGTATTATGTGTTAATTCAGCAGAACAAGTATGATGCAAATGTGTCTCTTTATCCTAATTCAAAGTCGTTCTAATACCTAATTTGCCATTTTTATTAGAAACCCAGTCGTTAATCCCAACGACACTTTTAATTCAGTCTTCTTAGACTTTATGTGGCGAGAGCAGCGGCTCTTCCATTTTTAATTTAGCCGATTACGCTCACTGTCAGGATTGAACGGCCACCTTTTCCAGCGTCTTGCCGCAGTGGCTGACTGATGTGTCATTTTCTTTGACAGTCCCTCTCTCACCTGGTATTTAGCTCCGCTTCTAGCGATTGTGTTTCGACCCGGTTCATGCTGCTCAGCATTTACAGCGTAGCCTAAACCAACCTCTCCCTGAGAACCAAATTAATGTCTGTGTTTATCTCTATAAAAGCGCTCTCAGGATGATGACGGGCTTCTTTGTGAGTTTATGAAGAGCGAGGCGGCTCTCTAACCTCTACCTGCCATGCTTTTGTGTGTGCATGTGTTGCCGGGTAACAAAGAGTAGTCATCATAAGAATTGCCGGCGGTCATGCCTATCCGTCATTAGGGGGAGTCTGAGCAGCGCAGTGAGAAAAATGGAAAGAAAGAGAGTGTTTTATTTTCGGGGAACGGTTTATGATTGAGGCATCCCGGACACGAGTGAGTTGAAGTGCATGGGCTGGAAAACAACACCGTCTGTTGTTTGGTCAGGGGAAAAAAAGGGAAATCCTCGGTTGGGTGTTGGTCTGGTCGCTGAGCAGTTTGGAGCAGTCTGCGATCACACAGATTTCGTATTTCTCCGTGGGTGAGAAATATCTGCGTAGAGGAATCGTGCAGGCCGCGGAGATCGAGCGTGAGTGACATTTAATGTGAACGTTGAGTTTAGGACATGCCATTTATGTTGTGAAGTGGAAGGGAAAGTAAACCAAACTTCTTTCTCCTTTAATAAAATAATACTAGAGGGGAGAACGAAGGCACGTGAAGGTGCATGTGAGGTGACAGCTGGGTGAATTTCTAATGTGACGCAGCACGCCACAGAGTGAGTAATATTGATTTCATTCGGTTTTGGGAAATGTACATGTATACTCAGAGAAAATGGTTCACTAGTTGTATACTGTTTTGATGTCAATGTTAATTTGAATTCATTAATAATCTGTTCTTGGAGAAGAAGATAGTAATAACAATGTTAATAGAGATGTACAGAGTGTAAAATGGATTTACTTGAATTTATTTAGTCAATAGTTGTAAGTGGCTTATGAGAATGTATATTTGATTATATTCTATGTTTGTTCTTCCTTTAGAAAGCATTATAAGCCACTACCGTTGTTTATCCAGGGGGTTAAGTGCTCACACCAATTTATTTGTACTGTGTTTAATTAATTCATTTATTTAATTTTTTGTTACTGTGGGGCTATCCTTGTAAAGGGAAAAAGGGGAATTGGCGAAACTGGCCTGAAGTTATTTCGGTAACTGTGAGCACTATTTGAAGTGCTTATATTTTGGGGTTTGTTTCTTTATACCTTTGGGGAAGCGTGCTTTTGGTTGTGTTTATTCTTCACTGTATACATTTCATCGGCACAACTCCCCTCAATTGAAAACCTTGAGTATTAATGCCGCGTCTTCTGCATACGCGGTCGGAAATAAAGAACCCCTAGTTTAGATACTTGGCAGTGTTTGAGTTTCTTTAAGGGTTTACACATTCACACGGCCACACATGTAAAAGAGGCTTTTGTCCTACCGTTTCCTTCTCTCTTGCTCTCTGCCGATCTTTTATTGATGGGGTTTTTATAGAGTTAGAGTCTGAATAATTGAGTGCTGAAAGACGAATGAGTGGCGCTCTGCTGTGCAGGAACGAGGTAAAGTACAGTACATGTCGGGGGTTTCCTTTAGTAAAAAAGACCCGTTCTGGTTTTTAAAGCGTGATGGTGACAGTTGTTTTAACATGAGGTAGTCACTATTGGGCTGGAATAATCCAGAACCGCTTCCACCACCAAATTATTGCCATTTTGTTTATCTGTATGTGTCTGCTCCAGTCCAGGTTTTGTTGGTTCAAATACAGGTGATCCTGCGGTGGGCTGAAATAACTCAAGGGAGCTTTGAAATGCCACATTTTCCCATTCAGTTGCTCAAATGTTCATATTTCTCCTCATCTGCTCTCTTTCTTCACCTAGCAAAGGTCATCCTGGAATAAAACAGTGTGTTCAGTATTATATAGCCGAATTACAGGCTCTTCCGGTCACTATTCTGCCATGAGAAATTTTCAGCATCATTACTCCAGTCTTCAGTGTCACATGATCCTTCAGAAATCATTCTAATATGCTGATTTGCTGCTCAATAAGCATTTCTTGTTATTATCGGTGTTGAAAACAGCTGCTAACATTTTTTGAGGAAACGATCATTTTTAATTTTTTTTAGGATTCTTTGATGAAGAGAAAAGAACGGCAATTGTTTGAAATAGAATAGTTTGGAAGCAATGTAGAAGACATTACTTTCATGTTTGGTCAATTGAATGTGTCCGTGCTGATTAAAAGTATTAATTTCTTTTGAAAAAAAAAATTTTTTTAACTGTTTGTTCAGTAGCTTTAAAAACAATATGTAAATGTTTGCACAAAGGCTGATTTTAATTAAATATATTCTACAACACTTCGTCTGACTATCAGGGGTCACCAAACTCGGTCCTGGAGGGCCAGTGTCCTGCAGAGTTTAACTCCAACTTTCCTCAACACATCTGCCTGGAAGTTTGAAGTATACCTAGTAAGACCTTGATTAGCTGGTTCAGGTGTGTTTGAACAGGGTGCACTGCACTTCCACTTTCGTCACTTTCACGATCGTCACCGCGTTCGCCCTACGTCCTGCGTCATCTGCTGGAACGCCACTCTCTCGTGTACGCGTGTACGACAGTTAGCAGAAGCTAGAGATTACGGTTCATAAAGTTTTAAATATGGATATTTTTCTTACACAAACACAACGATTCGCTTCAGAAGGCCCCCGGAGCCGTGTGGAGCACTTTTTATGATGGATGGAGGCACTTTTTTGGACTTCAAAATCTCGACACCCATTCACTACTATTATAAAGCTTGAAAGAGCCAGGACATTTTTTTATATAACTCTGATTGTATTCGTTTGGAAGAAGAAAGTCATATACACCTAGGTTGGCTTGAGGGTGAGTAAATCATGGGGCAATTGTCATTTTTGGGTGAACTAACCATTTTTTATTAATTACTATAATGACTAAACTTAAACTTACTTTAGGTTTTTCCAAAGCATGAAGATTCTTTCCCTAAAATGATGCTCCATTCTACAAAAACAGTACTGTAAAACCCATGCTGTATATTCAGTACTGAACTGAGTAGCCAAACATGACAAAAAAATCAGCAATGCATTTGTTCCTCTCAGCTTTGCACAAACCATCAATAAGAGTGAGCAGCGCCCACAGTGCATTATGTGTGCAAACTCAAAGCAATGAATCGCTCTTAATAACAAAATAAGACATCTCCACACAGCACCCGCAGCGTAAGAGAAAACAACGCTAGTTCTTTCAAAACAAGACATAAAGCAGTTTTCATTACTTGTTGAGATGCTGGAATGAGCCTTGGCTTGAGCTGGTATTAATGGCGAAAGTCTGTGCAAGAAGGAAACATACATTAAATGATAGTGTAACCATAAAAAAAAGGTAAATTCATATGGAATCAGCCGTCCAACATTATGACGATTGTGACTGATACCAAGTTACCAGTTTTATTGTAATAATAATAACTGAGGTATTTTTGGCAGAAATTATGGTTGCTATGATACAGTTTTGTAATTGTTACAGGAAACAGAGCTCATAGCATCATGTTATATTTTATTCCAGCTTGAAATGTTACAGTCTCAAATCAGATATTAAAAATGTTGCCTCTATATCTCATGTTGAATTTATAGTAAGAACTCTTATGATGTGACAATGACAGGATTCTAAAAAAGACTGATATAATCTCTAATGACAGATCATTTTATGACATAATTTCTGATTATGTCATAATCTGCCAGTGCGCAGTTATGATGTCAAAGTGGCTGATGGCAGGGCACAGGAATCTGTGTGATATTTTTCATATGGTTATGGAATTTTAGATTCGGAGGCTGATTTGAAACCTTTGTGTTTTCCATATGTGCAAAATGTCTCATGATAATTTATCATTCTGTGTGACGCATGTTGCTTTTTTCCCCAAATAAACAACCCGAGGACTACAAAAGCTCATTTTAGATTCACAGTCTGATAAACATCATTTATTCACATCTCCTTTTGCAAAAACAGTGCAGTATATTGTGTTTTAGGTTAGGTAGGTCTTGATGTTTCTTAAAGGGATATATCATCCAAAAATATAAATTCTGTCACCAAAACAGTTTGGTTAAACATTCTTCAAAATATCTTCTTTTATGTTCAACAGAAGAAGTAGGTAGGTCTTGATGTTTCTTAAAGGGATATATCATCCAAAAATTTAAATTCTGTCACCAAAACAGTTTGGTTAAACATTCTTCAAAATATCTTCTTTTATGTTCAACAGAAGAAGGAAACTCATACAGTTGTGGAACGCAATGAGTGTGAGTAAATAATGACAGAATTTTCATTTTGGGGTGAACTAAACCTTTAATCATTCTGGTTGGTGATATTATCATAATATTTGCATTCTGAATACCGATTGGTCAGCTTTCTTACGTCTGTTTGCATATAGTGAATATCTGTGTTTGCCTTTTTGCATCTGTTTAACCATCTACTCCCCACAAAGTGGTTTAAAATCTTGCCTATATATGTCAAAGCTATTCTTTTGCTGCCTTGCAAGCACTGGTATTATCTTTAGAAAATGAAAATCTAGTTCTGTTTACAGACCCCCTGAGAACAATTATGTGTCTTCTCTGAAGTACTTCCAACACTTAGTCAAAGATGACATTGTAATATTAGATATAGACACGTTCTGCCGTTTGATTTTTGAATTTGATTTAACTCAAGCACAGACTGTATTAACTGAGTGAGAAGAAATAAGCTCTCTGTCATTGTCTGTTTCTCTCTCCCAGGAGGATGGCAAGGTGGTGGATGGCAGTCTGCTGGATCAAAACTTAATTGTATGAATTGTATAAATCTCAGTTTCGAGAAATTGACCCTTATGACTGGTTTTGTTATTCATTTCTACTTGATGAGTCATCAAATATAAAGCTTTTCTTGAAAATGATATAAATGCAAGGGTGTCTTTTATTTTTCCACATTAAAGTAGGCATCTAGCGCCTGAGTCGAGATGTTGCATATTACTATGATCTTCAGAATGCTCAGCTGGTGCCATCTAGTGGTCATATAGGGGGAAAATTGGTCTAATACATTAACTCGTATGAAACAACTGCATTTAGTCATGTTGTACGCACAATTTTAGAAGACACAATGCTTTTATGAACGTTTATAAATGTTTAATGAATTGTTTTTTCAACCAAATAGCTGTGCTGTGTACATAATAAGCATTTGTAATCATGCTGTATTGATTTGTTTTTCACTCTCAAGATTGCTGAAAGAGCTGAGAATTACCTATAAGCGCGTTGAAAGAGACACTGAAACAGTTTGTGGCACCATTAAAAGAAAGTGGCACTCTAGGCAGGATCAGGAAATCAGAGATTGGTTTGCAAATGGGGAAATCAGAGAGGGCTATAAGAAGAGTGAAAGAAGAGACGAAGGATAAGAAGTGTCTCAGAATCAGGCTAGTGGCCCTATATATTTACATTGACCCTAAAAACTATTTTGATGCTTAAACCACGACTTAAAAATGTATGAATGTCAATTCATCAGAACATTAAATAGCAAAATATTAAAGCAAGTGAAAGGAATAAAGGAAAAAAAGTCAAAGTATTAAAGCAAGATTCAAGTTTGTTAAGCTTTAAATCTATTTTAAAACTTTATATTGTCTATATTATGTAATGAATTAGCATTTATACAACATATATAGAGGCCTCAGCGGTTCTTTCTGTATCGTCCTTATTAACGGAATAGTTCACATTAAAAAAAAAAAAATTTACTCACTTGGAGGCCATCCAGGTAGAATTTGTTTCTTCATCAGAACAGATGTTGAGAAATGTAGCATTACATCACATGCTCACCAGTGGATCCTCTACAGTGAATGGGTGCCGTCAGAATGAGAATGAAAAACATCACAACAGAGACCATTTTGAAGGCTCAGGAAACCTTTGCAGGTGTTTTGAGTTGATTAGCTGATTGGCATGTCACCATATTCTAATTTGTTGAGATAGTGAATTGGTGGGTTTTTGTTAAATGTGAGCCAAAATCATCACAATTAAAAGAACCAAAGACTTAAACTACTTCAGTGTGTGTGCACTGAATTTATTTAATACACGAGTTTCACAATTTGAGTTGAATTACTGAAATTAACTTTTCCACGACATTCTAATTTATTGAGATGCACCTGTAT